CAGTATTGATCGGTTGGTCAAAACTGAGCACATCAAGCAGTTGGTAAGAAGCTTAATGAACAATACTGTCTCAGAACTGGAGACAAAGCACGATATATTTTCCAAGTGCTACATCATAGAAACCGGAAGTATGGCAGAGGGTACCAAGATTGGTCAGCCCGATGAGTTTGATTTCACGATTGCCCTCCCTATGTTAGCTGATTCAGATGTGACAGAACTTTTGTACATCAAACTTGGGATACAAACACGCCTTCACAACAACATCCGCGATGAGGTCCTTTCCTTCCTGGGTCAGTTTTCCTTTGTTGATTTATCCTACAGACACTATCTTACAAATGCCTATTTGCTCCAGGTTTTTCGTGAAACACTGAAAAAGCACTTACCTCTGGAATGGACAATGCGAGAGGAAAGTGACTTACATATGATGCGAGTATTTCTCAAGAATCAAACTTTGACTCTTCATCTACAATGCGAATCTCAACTAGATGCAGGCTTTATCCTGTCAATTGATGTATGTTTTGGGATTCCTCTCAATGCTGAGCGACTCCAGACTATCTACATTTCTGACCATACTCATGCTTTGCATCTTTCCTTCATTCAGAGCCAGTGCCTTCGAATGAACACAGGGGTTGTAGGAGTAATCAGTCGAAACCCCCTCGTTGCAGGACGCTTCTTTTTTCAGATAGAACCATACAAATTTCATGGCAATAAATTGGCTGCAGACTGTTACAAACTGGCAAAACATGTGGCAAGAAGTTTCCTGCCAAAAGTTAACAAAAACAATTGTAGTTTATGTGAGGACACCTTGATTCCATCTTTCTACATGAAAACTGTGACATGGTTTATGATGGACTTCTACACTGAAGCAGATGACTGGTCTGAAACACAGCTTGGAAACAGATTGATAGAGATCTTTGAAATTATAAGTTATAGCTTCCAACATGAATACAAAGCTTTAGCGTATAACACACATATTAACAGTATGAAGTTGGACTTTCAAATGAAATATTCTCCAACAGATGGCAATGTCAAGGCTGGGGTTGGAATGGACAATGAGAAACCCTGCATGATTCCACGCATGGAAGACCTCTATCTTGCATCATCTCATGAAGAAGTTAGCATTGCTGTCCAAAGTTACTGGAAATATATGAAGTGTGAACAATGGGCAGTTGGCGATCTGCTCCTCAAACTCATTGAGCTTTTATATGTCTTGAAGTTTACGAAAACTGACTGTCATCAGCTTAGTGTACACCATGAATGATTTTTCACTATTTCCTCTACCGTCATTTACTCAATTGAGCACTGCGGGGCTCTTTAAATTTTTAGTGTTTTGGTTGTTTTGGCACATATGGAAATAAGCTGTGAACATGTCTGTTTTTGTCCTGTAAGGCAAATGATGCAGTACTGTGCTATTCTTCTCCCCAGTCCTCCCAGGACATTTCAAAATTGAAAAGACTGAACCATGGACAGAACTTGAAAATAATCAATCTTACAGTCCAAGCAAGTCATGACTCTGGTAATGTTCCTGGCAAAAAAGTTTTAAAATATGCTGATTATGCTACCAGTGCTACTTTTACAAAAAGTGCAAAAATTATGCTTGTTTTTCCAAATTATGCCAAAAATTTTGCTAGCACAATCTATAAGTGCCTACTTCAGTCTGCTGCCAGAGCTCTGCTATAATTCATGGTAGGCCACCATATAGTCACCCAACTATCCCATAATAAACACTAGTGAACATGATTTGAATTTTTTTTCTTTGTCCTTGTCCTTCTATAACCTTGCATATGCAGAGAAACATTGTCTGATTTTTTTTGATAATTTTATGACATACAAGAAAATAAATTATTTCCTGACACTTAGGTGCTCTGCATGCATTGCAGACCTACAATCGTGGACAAAAGTCCTTGGGACACTTACGTAATGTAACGGATTATCTGTGTTTTAGAACTGAAATGTGAAGAAAACGCTGGTATATCCTTTATAAACGGGTTGCTGTCCCCCCTCCCCCCCCCCCCCCC